AGTGAGTATTATAAATAGACTGCGAATTTTGTGAAATAATAGCCTATGGGGTTCTGTGAAATACAATAAAAGACAGAACTTTTATCGGATGCAACGAGTTTTCCATTTTATTCTGAACCCAATGGGATATTTAAGAAAAGAAGAAATTTTTACATTTATTCCTGTTTTTATGAATTATTTTATATAATGTTATGTTCCATTGAAATTCGCAGTCTAATTATAATTTTGTTCTTGAAGTTACTATTATAATAGCAAAGTCTTGATTAATGGAATCATAGGTAAAATGGTCCGCTGTTACCATTTTTGTCTTTGACATTAAAAGTGTCAAAAATTTTTGTTAGGATAATGAAGATTGTTCCACAGACGAGATATAAGGATAGACCTAACATGCAATGTAATTTTCTGTCCCATGCTTCGGGGGCGTCAGAAGCCCTCATACCATTTCAGAATTCCATTCCATGCTAGCAAAACCGGGGCAATAATGTATGTATGTATCGCTTTATGCAGTCATGGGTGTGTGGGTGTGTTGTGCGTTATCACGGTGTCGAACGTAATTCCTGATATCGGATACTTTTATCTGGAAGTGCGCTCGAACCATCCTGATTTTCGTGGGACACCAGATCCCATAAGATGTTAAGTCTATTCTTATATCTCGTCTGTGATTGTACTTATGATATCCGATTGCTATTTTTTCTATTGTATGGTTCCATATTGGTCTCCTCGACTATGGTTCTCCTATTTTCTTTCTTACTTTATGTACAGAGTGTTTAAAAAGAAGTATAAGCGTAATTTCGGACGTGATAATAGCATACAAAGAGAGCGAAGATAACATTCAAATTCGTGTAAACATTTTTTAAACTTCCTATCGGGATTTTACATTTAAAAGAGATGAAAATTATTGACAACTACAAAATTAAGAAATACTAAACTATTAGATAGCAGTAATATTGAATATTATATTATAGTTATAAATCAGCACTAATGTTATTACATAATATATTACTTCTCTCTGATTCACTTCCAAAATTATGTTCACACATTTTTGAGCACCCTGTATAAAAACTCAAAAATTTGTCAGGTTTTAATATGAGACATTTAAAATACACAGCTCTGTTAAAGATATTATTTCATATAACGTTTCACGTGTTATCTTACGAAAAATGTTTACAAATGAAATTGTAGGTAACAAAATTAGATTTAAACGTGACACTAAAAAGAGACTTGGAATTTGAATAAAAGCATCGGAGAGTCAACTCTCTGTAACCCAAGCATTTAGCTACAGCTTTTATTTATTATAACTTCAGCCACTTCTAAGAAGATTCGTAACAGTAACAAATCATTACAAATTAAATCAGGACATAAAACTTCTATTTCACTTATATACGCATTTAATTAATTTAACATTTGTACTAACGCTTTAGAATAATAATTATACACAAAAGTCAAAATAAATAAATCAAATCTTACAAATAATACAAAAAAAAAACGCTTAAAATGTCGTCGATCTCTCTGGGTTACAGAGTGTTATGGGCTGGAAATTTCACTCTGTGGACTCGATTAGGAATATTCAAGGTTTTCGCAAACAAAAAGAACATCAGTTTTTACAATCCAACATGAAATGCAGTTTTGAGTAAGAAACGTTTCACTGTGAAATATATCATTCACAAGTCACTCTTAAATACTGAAGAAATTTCTTTCTAAAATTCTTTTCAAACGTAAATGTTCGAGTTAAATTTCCATCAACTTCATATTTGGAATACGTCCAAGTGTAAAGAGTATTTTGAAACAAATTATTACCACTGTAACCAAATATGTGGTGTTTATGAGTTTAGTTTATAGCAGTTCTCTTATCCTCACAAAATCAGTAGTATCTAAAGTTTTTTCATCCATAAAAATTTTTCGAAATTTTCATTACCACCAACATACAATACATATTTCGATTTTTATATCTTTTTATTATTTTTTATATCTTCGTCACTTACATAGGTTGTATTTTAACAGAAACATAGTAAAAAAGCATAATGTTATGTACATCGAAGAATAGTGCTTCCTATTTTCATTCGTTATTAATTAACAAAATGGCTATCGACGTTTCACATAGTCCTAAGTAGACTGTTAGAATCGTTCGTAACTACACGTTTATCGTACTCTTTCTTTACTCAAAATTGCATTCCCTATCAAACCAAAAAATTGCTGTTCTTTCGTTCGTAAACACCCTGTACATCAATTTTATATTTTGTTACAACATTCATCCGCAAGCAACACACCGCTAGGGTTAAAATTTCCTCTTCGTCCGTTAACATTGCATTAGATCTGCATCCTACTACTCTTCCCACTTTTCGATCAACAGATCTGTTTAAGCTTTAAAAATTTGTTAACTCCATCGATGTCTCTTAGAGCATATACATATATACACATATATATGTATATACTTTTTTCAGTCTCGAACATCCGCGTTTAAGAAACCCACCATTATCATGGTGTGGCGTTTCGAACGTAGAGCCGACCGACCCGGAGGAAAAGCCTTCCGGTGGAGTTCATATTGATTCTCTCGCTTATCGATTATCAGACGACAGTCAAGATTCCGTAGGTTTGATACATTAGTCCCCCAAAAAAAACGTATATCGTTAGCAATATATCGTTACCATTACTATTATTGGTTCCGTTTGATTGGACCGCGCGCACGGCAGACAAAGTTACAGTTACATTTAAATCGACATCTGTTGTGTTTCTGTGTGTGTTTGTGTGAGCTTGCATACGTGTCTGTCCTGTGTGTACGCATTAGTAAATTTTCCTTATCATTTTACGCGGGAGTCTCGCGTGTCCACGCGCGCGATCGGTTAGAAAACATTTCACCAGGATCGGATATGCCCGTTAACGGGGCTATAATCCCGTCTGAGTTCTATCAAAACTTGGCTAGTAGAAAATATCGTATCCCGGTCCATTGGTATTCTTAACAGTGTAAAAAGCACTGGGACTCGGCGAGACTCCCTCAAACACCGTATCAGGCGTTCGATGGTTTCTACGAAGAGAGATACAAACGTTTAAGGACACCCCAAAACTCGTGGTAGAAATTCGTGGGTACAAAAAGAGTTAGATCGGTTGCGGCGGGCAACGGAAGGCCCTCAGTCGTTGATGAAAATTCCACTGGCGATCATAGAATAGATGAAAGTGTCGACGGGTCATTGCCGTTCCTTGTTCGGAGTACGAAAACATGTACAATTAGAAACCCTGGTGATGAACTCTCTGTCGTTCGACAAGTCCACGTGGAATTGATAGAAATCTGTACGCATGGACATACAATTAGACATGCATCTGATCGCCGTGCTAGGGCAACTGGATCCTTAAATGATATCGTGTCATTCTGCTTGGCAAAAAAGTTGTTGTAAATTCGTACGGTGTATATATGTATTTACATAGACGAACTAGTCAACGGAAACAACGGATCAGAAGACTGTCGATGGGTTCATTGTGTTTGATGTAAGTCGATTGTAATGTCCATGTATGTTCGAATTTCTCACAGTCGATCGAAGGCAATGCAATTGTATTGCTCAATGGTTCTTGATTGGATGATTGAAAAAGGAGCAACGATATGCGAATGGAACGAAGATTGAAGATTGCTTAAACGAGATCTCATAGTGTTCGTGTAATTTGAGAACGAAGCTCGGTTTAAAGAAACTCTGAGAGGCTTCAATGACGAATGGAGATCAGAGCCACGTGTGGCGTTCGTTCGAGGTCCATCGAATAGGTTAAGTGTTTATCGTGAGTTCACGTCACAGAGGACAGCTCGATTCGTACGTTATCATCTAAACATACAGCATCAAAGTTGATATATTGATATAAACGCTCATACGTGTTCCATTTATATACATACACACTTATTTACGAGGATTTAAAAAAACGCACTGCGTATAATCGTGTGTCTCTTGTGAGCAGCGTTTTCCTCACTCATGCGTATCCGTCACGACGTATTAGGGTAGTGCATACGAAATTTCGTTTTCAATGTTCAAAATATCATCTTTAATCATCTATTAGTATGCTTAATATCGAAGGAGAAAACAGATTTTTGAGAGATGTATTTAAAATTGAAAATGATGAATCAATGATGCTGTCACTAGAAATCAAGTGAATTTCAATATGTTTACCATGTCCCCCGGCTAGTTCGTTTGATCTGTCGAAAAAATATATTTCCACTTTCTCTACATATTTCATTCACTTTTATCGGTATAAACTGATGCAAAATGTTCAGACACTGCGAAAATGGCATCCGTTGTGTCTTCTGATCCTTTGGAACTTTTTAATTGCACTAGGCGTTAACTAGCTATTGTTATACAATTTTGTAAACGATTTTGACATTTCATATGCAACAACCTACCACCATCGTTACAAAGTCTTGGGTCTATCTATCTCGGTCTCTCGATATCCGATTCGCACACAGCTGTTCCGTTGGAATAGAAAACAAGCGAATAAACGTCCATGGTTAACTGGTTCGCGGACACCAGAGGTACAGCTAAGCCTAGTTAACTTTGGACTAACTTGCACACAGAATTGGCGAGCGCGGTTCGTGCGTCATAAATTCGATTGGCTTACACTTGAAGGACCGTAATCCACGGTCGTCTCCACGATTTCCCGCGGAGACCGCTCGCAAAATCGATTCTCGTCCCGGTTGAACGGGAAACAAAATTAAGAGCTTAAGACTTATATATCACATCCTCAATATATGCGGCAGTGTTTCCCTTATGCTCTAGTTGAATGGCCGTTGCTAAACCGGCGTTAAAACGGATGTTCCACATCGGACTCGGTAACATATAATTCCGATTTTCGGCGACCGTCACACTTCCGGTCCACCAAGTTCTTGCTAAAAAATTCTCTATAGACCACCAACGTCGTGGGTCAGACCCGACGCGGCGTTCACGACCATTAATTGGCAGTATCGATCAGACTTTCATCCTCGAATTCCTAAATAAACATCGATTATCCTACAACGGTCGCGGCTGGTTTGTTGGATAGATAAAGGATTTCCAGCCAAGCTGATTCCATGCAAACTTCTGGGCGACGTATGCGAACATAAAGCCGACTGTTTCTTCAAGGATAATCATCGACCCCACTCCCCCCCCCCCCTTGTCTTTCCTGGACGTCCTTCAATCGAACCGGTATACGATAACGCAAAGGACGATCAACGTGTGGACTCGATACTAGGACCTCGAAACGGCGACCAAATCACAGAACAAAGCGAATTTCCTCTCGCCCTTTCTTAATCCTTCCACCACCTGCACAGACAGCAGTACCATCGCCTTTCGGGATGGGGCTGAATTATCTGCTATTGTCAGTGCATCGCTCTGGTAGTGGTCAAATGTGTGGTCTCTGCCCTCTTTGGCGGTGGTGGAGGTGGCCTTCTTTTGTTCGCGATGGCATTTACGATATTGATGGTACGATTTTCGTCAGCGAATCTGACAGTTGGTTGCCGGGCTGGACTGGAAGCGTACTCAACTGGCGCGTGAGGGTCCGTTGTATAAACGTTCTCGTAAAGGTTGTCAGCTCCGTAATGTTCTTGGACCCAATTCGAAACATTTGTTTCCCTGTAGTCAGCCACGGCAGGCGGTGGATCGCGGAAACCAAGAACCTCATGAGGAGTAGTCGTCGAGTCAAGCTTACACTTTTGCGCCACCTGCCACTTCTTCCTCATCACTCTCTGGAGATCCTTTAAGAAATCACCAGGTGGAGCCTGATCGGACGCAGCAAGCTTTTTGGGTGACGTCAGCCTCGTACTGTCCGATCTTCTCGGTGGCATTGGTTTTCTTTGCGGTAGGGCAGGACTTCCTGGCTCTTGTTGCGGAGGTAGATTGAAGGTGATCTTCTTGCCGGTACCTGTTTTTGCCTTTGGTGACGTTGGCGGCTCTTGAATGGTTACCCTACGTTGAGGCTGAGGACTGGACGCCGCTTTTAATTCCGCTAGGTAAGGTGGAGCTGCGTAATGACTCGAGGTTTGCTTCATGGCACTTCGTCGCACTGTGTCCATATTTGGATTCGGCCTGATCGGTTGGACCGCGTTGTGCGGAAGGGAATGAGTCCCGTATATCGACTCCACTTTTGAGTTTTGCCTCGTCAGGCTCTGCGAGGTGCCATGCTGCGGCTGGGAACCGTACGCTGGGGGAGCAACGAATGGCGGGGGTGAAGCGAAGTTTGGAGAACTTGGGGCGTAGGTTGGTGTGCTTGCGTTGGATCCTGGGTAGGAACTGTGTGGCGAGGGCACCGAGTTTGACGTATTGTTCGCGTGGTGTGCATTCTGCGCGTTCAAGGTGTAATTTTGATTGTTCTGAACCGTCGTGTTGTTCTGTAACGAATTGTTCGCGTTCATGTACATCTGCTGGTTGTTCGATGGCCTCGACGGAGTGTGCGTTGGCGTGTTCTCAGGTGTCACGGAATTCGTAGGCGTTGATTGTTTAGGCCTTGCACGCCGGATTGTTCCGGTTTCGCCTACCAGAGGACTCGGTGGTGGCGGAAGGGATGCAAGACTTAACGATGAACCGGACAGTTCAGACGTATTGCACACTGGGAGTTCACCAGGTGCTGGAGGTGGTGGCAATGAGTCTAGCGACAGATTCGATCGGAACATTTCTGGTGGAGGTGGTGGAAGAGGTTCGTTATCCGACTCTCCTTCTTCGGCGACTCTTGATGGTGACGGCGGAGGAGGTAACGAAGTGATTGAATCCATCTGTGAAACATTATTCGATAAATTCGCTATTGTCTTGAAATACGAATCAATTAAAAAAAGTTAATGTAATTTTTAACACGTACCATGCATGATGGGATTGGGCTTGTTGGCGTTTTCGATTCCTGACTCTCGGTTCTGTTGTATCCCATGGGGCTGGCTCTTTCCCAGTCTTTTTAGTGTTCCAGATCCGTCTGAATCGGTGCCACTCCTTCTTCGGCTATGCCTTCTGGTCAACGTACCGGATCCTGAACTCGTAGGACTTGGACAGGAATCTGACTCATCTCGAACGGTCTCGCCTACCTCTTTCAACTGCCTCGTGATCGATGTGAGAGGGAGTTTCGGGTTCATCGAGGGTTTTCTTTTTATCGTTCCCGTTGGAAATTCGCCACACTCAAAAGCCACCTGTAGTACATAATAAATGAAATATTATATGCTGGTCTATCTTTCTTGCCACGAATGCAGATCAATCTCGTAATTTATTGTAACTACCTCACAACTGCTTGGCGCTCCGTCCGATAGGCATCCACTGGAACTCGAGCTGCTGGCTCTGCTTAACCTTCCATCGTTATTATAACTCTGTCGTTGTTCAGAATTGTAACTTTGCCTTTGACCATCATACTGTCTGGTGTTGGTATTCTCGACGCTGTGCCTCGAATTTTCCGTAAATTGCCGAGCATTATCGTTGCTGGTGTTGTACTGAGTCTGATTCTGAGGCGGTACGGCGATCGAGCTGACAGAACACGATCTCGCGTGCGCAAGCATATCGAGATCCTCTTGCGCCAGTTCGTCGACGAGAGTTCTGTAATTCTCCATTAACTGTCTGCCATATTTAGCTACTCTGATCCCAACCATCCACCGTTCCAAGGATGCGTTGTCCTCCGCGCAAAGGAACTTGATGTACTTAGTGGACTTTGGCTGTTGCAACCTGGGATGCTTCACGGCAAAGCAGAAATCCGTCGGCGCTTTATATTTCTTCTTCCAGCCAACGCCGTAGTAGATTTGATTCACGTCAAAAGTTGCCAGGCAAACTAGATCACGCGCGGTACGAGCCTTCTCCTTTGGCCAATAGTAGAGGCCAGACGCTCTTAGGATGAAGTGATACCTCTTCCAGCCTTTCTTGCTGTCTGACTTTAAATACAGTGGTCCCTCGACCTAAAAATTACAGAAATCGATATGTTAAGGAGCTGCTGTAATTTACAGGTCATAGAATGTTTAACTCTTGTGAAGAATTAATAGAAATGAATGTTTCATATTTGACGTATTAAATTCTTATTGTGACTCCAGTTATAATCTCAACTCAATAATCTTGCAACTTTTATGATTACAGAAAACTGTAATTGCAAATACCATGTGCGTGACATTACCAATCAAATTGATAGTAAAGGGAACTAGTTACCTCCGGAACGCCGACGTTGCTGCTGGAGAAAAATTCCTCCAGGAGAATGTTACGAGAGTGGTCATCATATTCTCCACTACTCCTATCGGATGGACCAAGGAGGAATCTTTCTGGATTAAGGAAGAGTTGGGTCTTATCTGGCCTTTCAACGAAAAGCAATTTGTTCTTCGAGTCTCTTGTCCAAAGTAAAAGATTTTCTACCAACAGCTCGTGATCCTCGTATACTCTCTCTATAAGATCAGATCGATGAGTTTCTATAACCCTATAATCGATAATTAATTTAATCCAGTATCGATATTATATTTACCCATGAAAAGATCAGGTAAATGCTCAACCACAGCCCACTTTGGATCCATTGGCACGTGGTTCTTGTCGGCGAGGAGCCTACACACGTGAGCTACAGTCATCCCCTCGTCAACGAGCAAACTTTTCCCACTGCCGTCCAATGTGAACGCTTTGATGAACAACTTCTGAACGCTGGCCTCGCGCATCTTCTCCAATGCCAGCCGAATTTTTTCTGCCTTGACTCTGCTTGCGGCGTCTAGTGAATTTAAGTAATTATACATACCACTCTATTTAGTATTACCCTACTTCACAAGAAATAAAAATACCAGGAGTAAACCGAAAAGAAAATTTTTCTGATATTTATGTTTCATCGTTAAATTGTATATTGCTCATCCGATTATTGTGAACTGATGTCTAACCTATTTACAAGCGTAAGTGTTTACCCTACATTTAGTAGAGAACAGTACACATTATGATTCTTTACACATCTGATATTTTCAATAGTTTGACTATTTATTAAAAATTCACCATGAATTTGATATTCTGTATTTTTATGTATTCTATTAAATTGGAAACGATTAAAAAAAGCTATCGGTTTCGAGGTAAAGAATAAAATTCTGTGTATCGTCGGTGGAACAGATATAGTGACTGTCTTGAGACGAGACCTACTCAAATGACCTGTTAAGCGATACTCTCGTTACGTACCAGCCACAGTTCAGGGGGCCGTGATTAATAGATTTCAGTTCATCTCATTCTCATTTTACCCTGGAATTTTATTTCAGAATATTTATAAATAAATATTTTTTTCTTTAAAGAATTATTTGACAATTATATGCATTTATATGCTAGTAGTCAAGACTAAATAACTAAAATACTGAAATTTAATAATTTTTTCATTCTATTTTACATTACAATGAGTTGCATAAAGCTTATTCAATTCCAGTTTTTGTAAATTAATTCAAATAAACATGAATTTGCATAAATATCTGCGGTCTGCTGGTCATTAGCATACTAAATGTTACAGATTCTACTCTTGGGACAGTATCGTCATAAGATGTATTTGTTCAGGTCTTTGCCATTAACAACGTAAGTATTTACGCGTTGATTTAAGCAATAATTAATTTTAATTATTACACTACTGCTAATGATATTTATAAAATGTTAAATGTTTTTCTTTAGAAATTCAATGTTTCTTCGTGTAATTTAACACGATCAGTGCGAGGTCAATATACATACAGTACCAGACAAATGAATTCGGACAAGGACATTTTTGTTGTATTTGTTGTTATGGTAATGTTACTGGAAAAAGTAACACGGAATTACTTACGTACCGTAAACTATAAAACAAGTTTCATTTGTATATAGCTAGACAAAAGTATTCGGACGTTTCATTCACAATCGTAAATTGTATTCTGAAACAAGAACTTCACGAGCACATTATAATTGTACCTTTATTGTATTCATTCTCGGATGGTACGAGGTAAAAATTCAGCGAAAATTTTAAAACAAAAGATCACAGACGGTTCAAATGGAGCGCAATCATCCCTAGTGTCTTCAATGTGAATATTCAACAAAATAAACAATTTGTTCGAGGAGGACATTTAGAAAATATATCGAGTGTGGGCGACCTAAGAAAACAACAATTACACAAGACAGACGTCGATTACTTAATGTAACGTCAGTAGTATTCTTAATTCAAATACTCAGGAAACGGTTTTTGTCCGAAAACATTTATCCGATACTTTATGTATCAAGAAGAAGTTACTTTTAAATGACGAAGTCGATATACATATACATATACCTAAAGTATATATAATTTTTTGATAAATTAATATTTTAAACATTATATATGCGATCGTTTTAACGTAAAACTAAGGGGAAAAAAATTGACAAAATTTACTTCACTACAGTTGGAATTGTAAGAATTTGTCTGCACTGAATTGCTAATGGCGGCGGTCATCGGTGACCAACATGGCAATTAACGTGTTGTCATAAGAACATGATTGTTTCGACTTATCCATAAATTGGTGAGGTTGCTGTGATTAGTATAAAAACATGCTTGTTTCAACTCACCCATAAGTTGATGAGGTTGTTGTTGGGGGGCTGTGTGCATAGCGGTCTGAGGCGGTTTGTGTCCGGAGCCGCTGCTACTCGCGGAACTCTCGCTGGACAACATCGACACCGTATCCGAGAACGCGCTGTCATTGTCAGGACTATCGGTTCGCAGTGCTGAAACAAATAGTTGACGCCGGTCAAAGAAAGCTGGCGACGTAAAAGCGAATTAATTACGCAGTTATGAGTTCGAACTCGCTGCTCCGAGTCTAGCTCTGATACTGATATCTAAAGTATACTACTGGCTAGAATACATGTCGCAGTGTTGATACAGAAACTAGTTAAATCAAGTTTTTACGGTGTTAAATTTATACACGTGAACACAGAATCAAATTTTCGATTAAAATACCCAGAGAACTCGAGCGTAACGCCTGGAATGATACAATTCATCCAATCACTGACCACGCAATGGATACAGTTTCGGCAACTTCTCCTCTATTTTTTAAGATTCCACTTGTTTCGGCTGAACTGAACGCTGTACTTTTTTTGTAAAGAAATTAATATTTAAAAACGAGCTTTAAAAAAAAAATTTTATATTAAAATTTTATTTTTTAAATTAAATTTTCGCACGAGTATCAACGGTTTGTTCAAAAGTACCTACTTAAACAGAATATGGTTATTATACTTCTGGGTTCATGGTTCCAAGTTTCTTAAAAATCTCCAAACACGATCTTATGATCTAGTTGTAACTTCTTGAGGGTATCAAGTGGGAAGACAGTTTTACTGCGATTCTATCATTACAGTGATTCCTTTTAACCTATGAACCTATATTTCTAATATCATTCTTTTATCCGAACACTTATATCTCCCTATTAGTTCAGATACGGAAGACTCTACTGTATTTAATTACAAAAATGAAATTTTCAAATAAATTATTCTCGAAACTTTGATGGTGAATCACGTATCTGCGGGGAAGGTATTATTTCAGAAGTCCTCTTGTGATGAGTACACTCTCGCTCAAAAGTTGTCAGAACACATCGAATTCGCAGTATTTACATACATTATATACAAACATTTACATGTTTCGGGGATATTAAAGTTCAATGCATAACGCTTATGCTACTATGAAATAAGAAAAATCGCCTTAAATGTGCACTTTTTACAATACATCACGTTTCCTTCATACGGACTAGGTGTCGTAATACGTACACTCACGAGCAAACTCAGCTTCCACTAGAGGAAAAAGTAACGTAGGGGTGTACATAAAAAAAAAGTAAAAATAAAAAGGGTCTCCTACCACTTGGTAAATTTATTCCAGGTACTAAAATAAATGTTAAATCGAATGTTAATTTGGCATACATTTCAGTAATTCCAAATACCAAGTGATAGGAGGCCTTTCTCTTACGCCACTTTTTCCCCTAGCGGAAGCCAAGTTTGCTCTTCGGTGTACCGTGAATTGGGGTGTTGACTCAGTCAGGATAATTTTGTCCCAGTCAGAAAATGATTTTTTCGATTTTGCAGCTCAACAAATTGTTAAACTAAGTAAATTATAAAAATACCTGCAAAATAGCCGCTTTGAACGGTAAAACTGGTACACATTAAAAAGAAAAAGGTAGCTCGCTATTGCTCGTAAGTCCGTAATGAGGACGCACTCTAAGGAGCTGCCACACGATCATGCTTATAACTGAGCTCCGATAAATTACCTCCTTCGTTCTTGCCGATATCGGTATTGTCGCCAGCAGTGATCCTGGTGCTATTAGGTCGACCCTGTCTCTGAGCATCGGGCGCAGGTGTAGAGGCGATGTCGCCGTCGCAACGGCGTTCGAGGGCGCATAGTTCTCCGAGGATGGCATCCAGATCGACATCTTGGGAATCTGCAAACAAAAAGAAGTAAACCGATATCAGTTATGCATGAAAAACACTGAACATAAAGGCGGAACAACTGTCAACTCGGTAAAAGTGAGACGCGTGTGGCGTGTCTCGAAGAGAAAGATGGCGTGGCGGCGGCGACGATTACGATCGCTGGAAGCTGTTAAGGGATCGACACGAATTATGAACGATACACGACGATAAAACCAGTTCTCCGTTAATTGTCCGTACCATTGTACCGGTCATCTGGGTAACCGCACGTCGACCGATCCGTCCCCGTTCGTTCCACGAACGTGAAACGAGGACTCGGATCGCGGACTCCGTGTACCTGACCTCGTGCAACTAACGCAAGCGAAAGTCCTTGAGTGACCAAGAAACGAACGCGTTTAATTGAAACCGCAGCTAATATTATTCGTCCGTGTGAACCGATGAAGGATTTATTTAATCGCTCGTGTTTGTGCTGCTTTCTCAAGTTCTAACGTTAGAATTACCAGCGTTTAATGTATGCTAAATTTAATTGTATAATATATTGATATTTATAATATATAGTACAGTAGGTGTAATAGAATATATTGAAATGTAAAATATATAATAAATTAAAAGTCAACATAAATTCCGTTTCTCGTTTTCCTTTATTTCCGTCGATTTCTGGCTGCAATGTTTTTCTAAGAACGGTCGCATACGAAATCGAACTGTACAAAACCCCGGCAACTCAAACGCAATTTTCCGCGTGCACTCGTACTGTGTAGCGTAATAATTATCGTGGATCGTTACCCGCACGTGATAATAACGACTTCGTTAGGATAATTAACCAAGTTAGCCTGTACCAGTCCAGGCAACGAGAAACCGATTTCTTCATCCAAACAAAATTATTCAAATAAATTGCATAACCGTTTCGATCCCTTCCACTCACATCGCACTTTGTCTTGTCGATTTAAATCTCCATCTGGTTTCACTTGTGCAGTTTAAAGATCAGTATATTATGTAGCAAGATTTTTAAGTTTTATGGTTTTATGTTATATGTATGTTCAATAAAGTATTCCTTCTCTGTTGGATTTTAAACAAAAATTGAAACATGACGAAGTCTCCTTAAATGCTCGTGGGTTCAGTATGTTCAAATGTTGGGTGCACCAAAGAATAATTCACTAATTTTTTCAGTAACTAGATAACACTGTTTAAATTTAAGGCATCTTCCTATTTCTTTTCTTTCTTTCTTTAACGGGCCAAGGCTCAAATACCATGGGCCAAGTATTTTATATAGGCCTTAATATTTTATAAACAATATATAAAATGTTAAGGGTACCTGAACGAACAGTCATTCTTATCCAAGTTTTTAAAATACACTGCCATACTTAAACTTAAAGTACCTTTTAGTCTTTAAAATACATTCTATTAACAAAATATTTACGATATGATTACAACTTTCATCCTCAGTTATACCTAACAAAGTTCAGTTTACTGATATTTGAAAAAAAAAACGAATTCGCATGTATGGAGAAATTTTACTTATTTACAGAGCGAAGCGTGCTCCAATATTTTAATCGGTAGTATACTCAAAAAAGTGGTGGGTGCGATATTAATCCGGAGTAACGTCGTTGCAGACTGCATTAAAGCCCCGCAAATTTTACTGAATTTAATTTAGCTGTATTATATTCATTCGTTTCATATGCACTTTCAACTATTTGGCTGATTACAAATAAGTTCACATTCATGGGGCGTCCTTTATGCGCAACTATTTGTGAATAATTCTTAGTACAATTGCTTCACAAAGACAGAAAATATGTTTGTCGAGGATCGCCCTCCTTTCATAATACGAATTACAATTACCAGAGACCGGTTAAGAATGAAATTCTTGTGATTCGCACGAAGGCGTGGGGCATTCCACCGCGAGTTCCGCGAGAGCAACAAAGGGCACGCGTGCAGGCTCTCAATACGGAGTCTTTACCACTTTGGCCTGAGTGTGCATGTAACACTTAGCTACATAATCCTAAATAAGCCGTATTTGTGCACTAACACGAACCAGCACCTCTTACCCGAGGTGATCAATTATTTGCGAATTAGTGTCAAGATCGTCTTTAATTTGGATCACGGAATTTCATCGAGGGAACCAAGTAAATAAGTAGGTATTATAGAGATTATGGCGTAATAATTGAAGTTACAGGAGTTACGTAATAGTTTGATGAACAACGAGTGACTCTCTATTGGAAAACGAAGCATAAACATTTTAATACAAACATTTTAATTCACCACAGAAACGCCCCTGAACTGCATTAAATGCTGCCCTAATGCAGTATTTGAACTGTTCATTTTTCAAATTTATTTTAAATATAAAAAGTTAAGCACCAATTGCTTTGACACATAAATTCGCAAAAAGATTCAAAAAGTGGAGTTATTCACTTTGGTCTGCAAATGGCTCATTTCTCAGTCAGAAAGTTTAAAAGTTACTTTCTAAATAAATGATTGGTTGAGCTTTTCAACGTCTTCTGTATAAAACCTCGTCCTTTTGTTATTAAAAACAAAGATCAACAAACCACTAATATATTGTATGAAACTAATACGCTACCAACAAAGAAACAGTAATAAAAAATGATCGTTTGAGTAAACCTGTTGGAGCAGCACTCTATCGAACGTTTGACTTATAATTGGTAATTAAACAAAAATCGACTTTCTTCCCGTGAAGATAGACGTTTATCGAAACATTCGTAAAAAAAAGTGACCAATGTGGATTTTCGTTAGCGCATAAGAGCAAAAAAAAATGGCGGTTAACAATCAGATTAACTGCTTGTGATAATTCACCTTAATAGACGAAGTATCTGTTTCTTTTGCTCTCGTAAATAAGTTAATAACAATGTATGTTTGTAAACGAATGAAGAAAATTTCTAGTTCGTTTACCTAGTTATGGGTTCACTGAAATGAGACTACGCCTGAAGACACTACCGAAGCATTATCATAGATAACGTTAGAGGCACGGTTGCCAGCAAGTTTCCTCACCTCGCATAAATACATTTTGCGGCGCTTCCGCTCCCATTGTTATCGTTCCTAACGCGTCAGTTTGGCGCGTTTCGCGAAACGTACCAGTGGCGTTTACGCGACGCAGTTGCCGTGTTCACGGTGTCGTTTTTCCGCGAGAAAACTCGAACCTGAACGGGCAGGAAACACGACGCCAGCCGTGAAACAAGAATTCGATTCACAAACTCAGCACTCGTTTCTTTGGTTTTCTACTCGTCGACGACGACGACGAGATTCGCGTGCACTGGCCGCGCTTGGTTGGACAATTCCGAAGGAGATACCGTCGCATTCCATGACGACGTCGTCATTCGTTCAGTAATCATTGACGCCGGCTATGAACCCTGACGGGGAAATGCTCTTTGCCCGAGCGGACAGGAAAGTCTTGAATAATCGGAGTGTCTGGGAGACTTTTAAAATGGTCTGTATCACGGAGCGATCCAAAAACATTACGTACACGTGAACGTAATGGGAGTTTTTGCGTTCAAATCTTTATCCAATCCCGAGTCATTAGTGTAATACTACTTAACCCCTTGCCCTATAACATCGAGTCAGACTCGTGTTGACGAATTGATAATCGAACAAAGAAGAATATTATTCGCTTTTCTTTGAGTAGAAATGAAGTACCACGTTGCTAGTACTAATATTTAACTGTTAAAGTAAAAGTACAGTTGCGATAAGTACAGAATTCCTCTCGTTTCTACAAAACTATCGATAACAATGTAATCATAGGGCAAGGGGTTAATGCCAGCTGTTTCTCCTATTTCAACCGATGTCCACTTTTGTTGCCTTTTAATGAAGTTATAATTTTAAGAGTAGATACGAAAGATACACGCAATTATCGAGATAATAAAATCTTCTAGGTGCTACGTGCTACCTATAGTAGCTTCCTGGGTGGTGACGGTTGAGGCCGATGCGCCGCTATAATAGCTCTTTTATATAAATTATATTAAGAGATACTGAATAATCACTAACGTTGTTCACTTTTGTTTTCTGGGCGAAACAATCGAGCAAATATCCCACCGTTGTTACCATAGCAACCAATAATAATAATAGGTGCATTATATCCGCAAAAAGTTCAAAGGTACTCGTGACTCAGACTATCGAACGGTGGAAGCATTGTTAGCTAACCCTTAATTACAGATGACTCTTCTCATAGATGAATGATTCGACAACGCTGCTTTGTAACACTTTTAATAACCAACTGAATGGTACTTTTCGTTACCGTTTTGGAAATAGTGTGCCACTTACTGTCAGTTGAAGGTACTCAAACGTTGATGCTTCTAAAATTTAAATTCGTCTATGAAACATAGTGGTTTGTAGGTAAGCATTAAAACATTAAACAAGTGCATAAAATTCTCACTCCTTTTTACACTCTGATTATTCTTACATCTAAGTAACTGTTCCTACTATAAAGGCCAAGTTTCTCTGCAAGTATGAATGTCCTGTATTTTCAACTCAGGTCTATAGACAACCACGTACCATATCAGATCACTTTTAGACCTCATCAGCCTCGCCTTTAGCGAACCCAAATAAACCCACCATTAACAACCGTCCCACTACAAGATGATCAGCGACCCTAAATCAAGATTACAGGAAAAAGGATACTCTATTCTAGAACCCAGTCACCAATCGCAGAACAGGAACATCTTCATACTTCACGTGTACGAACCACGGGCTGCCTACAGATAACCAAACCTCAGAAGATCGCTAATGGAAATTTACGATCGAACAAGTTATTCGATGAGTCGAGCCACCAAGTTTCGTCGCGAATGAAAATGAAACTGTGACGAGTGCGTACGGCCGCGTGCACATTCCACGTTCGAATCCGGCGAAATAACACGTTAAGCACTCGTCGTAACTCGCTAATACACCATAGATTACCGTTAGCCACGCGGCCACCGTTTTCATGGTGTCGGATAGAAGACGCCACGAGGAACGTCCAATTTGTATTCCCAGAGGGATTCACGGCTGACACAGAGCCACGTGAGTCAGTGTG